AATAATTATACTATTATGCTACAATGAATAAATACAATGCAAATCAAATAGAAAAACTAGTTTCTTTCACTGTGTTTATCTACCTAAGGATTTAAAATGCAAAAAAAAAAAAAAAAACTTAATGAAAGGTTGATAGAATGAAGCTGATAATTGGAAGTTTATTTGTGGAAAGTATGTCCATCATGTCATGATTAGCCTGATTTGTCCTCTGCTTTCAAAGGTTAAATGTTACAAATGGCAGATAATTAACAGACCCTTTTAGCTAGCACATAATTAATTTCATTAGTAAAATAAACTAAATACTGCATTTTAGGAGGTTCTGTAGCTCCTTCAGTTCACTTTTTAATATGATAATAAATTAACGTAGTCCTTAGCGCTAGTTTCTCTATTCTCAAATAGAATAATATAATACTAACCAATACAATGCAGAAGGTCCACAAAGTGTGCAAGAGTCCAGTTTACAGCAGGCAATAACAATACTCCAAGACATGAGGTATAATAGGGTAAAAGGCAGCAGAAGGTGGCAATAAACAATAAACCAGGTAGGAATTTACAAGTCATGTGCAACCATAATAGATGTACAGCTGCTAAGGACAAGATTGTGTATGACAAAGCACAGGTGCTTGAGGTTAGGCAGAAATATTGACTCTCTGTAATATGGATGGGCCCAGAGTGAGAACTGTTTATGAATCTGTTGATCAGCACTTTTGATTCTGAGCAAACTTTTTAAAATATCAGCCCTTTGAGTCAGTAAGAGTGTCAATCTGAAATTCAGCTGCTCATAGGCAAACATCTGTGGTCGGAGGTATGATAATTTAAAAAGCGTGTCTGATTTTTACATGTATTGAAAATATTGCAGTAAGAAAAACTGATCATATGTAAATATGCTGTAGATAACATATCATAATCTTATGGCATGTTTTAAGACCAAAATGAATCGTACAGTATTTTTTAGAAAAAGATTTTATTGTACTTGGTTTACCTAAAATGTTTACTTAAAAACCAATAAAAATGTGACCCTGGACCACAAGGGTGACAAGTAATAAGGGTCAGTTTAAATAAGTTTTCCATTTTATATATGGTTTGTTAGGATAGGACAATATTTGGCTGAGATACAACTATTTGAAAATCTGGAATCTGAGGGTGCAAAAAAATCAAAATATCGAGAAAATCGCCTTTAATTTGTTATGACTGGTTTTGTGGTCCAGGGTCACATATATACTTTAATATATACTGTACACTATCATTAAAAAGTTGGTGAGATTTATTTGATAGAAAATTTAAAAGAACAACATTTATTATATATATTTTTTTTCTCATATTTGATTAGTTTAATGCATCTTTGCTAAAATTGTTAATTATTAAGAATAAAAGTATTATTTTATTAATTAAAAGTATAAAAAACGTAAAACTTTTGGTAGTTTATACTGTTTAAAGCTATAATTCTTTTAAGACTTTAGCAGGTTACTATATAGGTATGTACCACTAGATGGCACTCCTACCCAAGCAATTCAAGATATTTCTGTTCCTTTAGATTTCCCACCAATACCACGAGACAACCCAGATGACCACATACTGTGGAAACATTTATGTATGTTAAACAGTTAGGCCTGAGATTATTCTGCTATTGCAAACTTTTATAAATATCAATATTAACGTTTTTTGCACTGCATTCAAACATATTTGCACTTTTTAGATCAATAAAGCATGCCTATTGATAATATTATAGAAAATTAGAAAAATCAATTCAGCAGCAAGTATAAATTGTTATGTTTTCGAGAAAAGTTTATTTCAGTCTTAATTAACAAATGTTTATATATATTTGTTAGTGTAATTATTTTATAATATATTTATTAAAAAACTATATTGATATTATAATGTATTTATTTAGGTTTGATTGTGTTTTTATTTACTTATTTTAAATTTTTCACATGTTTGTTTATTAATTGTTTTGTATTTCATAAAGCTATATAGGCTCGATTGTGACAACTTACCCCACACAGTATGACAACATGCCATACTTTTGGGTCAACGTGTTAAATTAACTTTTTTTTTTTTTTTTTTTTTTTTTTTTTTTCTTTCTTTAGGCCATGACAGTGGCCACATTTCATTTTATATTTTCATTTTCATTTTATTTTTGCTTGTATTTTAGCAAATATTTTTGTGTTTGTGCCTCCACAGAAATTGACTGAGAGCAGGTGCTTACTAACAACTGTCCCAATTTCTTGGGCTCTGACAGAAAAATGTTTGACATTTTATCTTTGAGTACAGCCATACACGCTGCATCATTCCCAGCGTCTGTGCATCTGTTCCCAACATCCTTACCATGCCTATTGATAATATTATAGAAAATTAGGAAAATCAATTCAGCAGCAAGTATAAATTATGTTATGTTTTCGAGAAAAGTTTATTTCAGTCTTAATTAACAAATGTTTATATATATATTTGTTAGTGTAATTATTCTGAATAATACTTATATAGTAATGCATGCCTATTGATAATATTATAGAAAATTAGAAAAATCAATTCAGCAGCAAGTATAAATTGTTATGTTTTCGAGAAAAGTTTATTTCAGTCTTAATTAACAAATGTTTATATATATTTGTTAGTGTAATTATTCTGAATAATACTTATATAGTAATGCTACAAGGAATAAATACAATGCAAATCAAATTGAACAATACATTTACCTAACTATATATATATATATATATATAATGTGTATATATAATGTGTATGTATATGTTCCATTTATTTGTGTTCAACTAAATTTGGATCAGTAAAGCACATATCTTATTAGTATCAGGAACTAAATATGCCCAACATCCTTACGATCAGGTTTCAAAGTCTGTTTGTTCCAGAGACGGGGTGGGTTGAAGCTGGCTGGGCGATGTTCGGCAGCGGAGTTGGTGAGATGGAAGCCTTTGTTAAAAACATCAGGTAGAGCGTGGGGGGGCTGTTGGCACAGCGGCGCTTGCCCCCATGCTGTTCTGTCAATCTGCCCCTGCCCCGTGCCGAGAGGATGGGGGGGCAGACACCAGGGGGGCCAATCCTCCATGAGACCCAAATCACGCCAGACGAGGAAAGATGGTCCCTGGCTAAATACAGTTATCCCCCCTCATCTGTCAATCAAGAAATCTTTGAGTAATTTGGGATTTGCCAAGAAATTGAACAATACATTTACCTAACTATATATATATATATATATATAATGTGTATATATAATGTGTATGTATATGTTCCATTTATTTGTGTTCAACTAAATTTGGATCAGTAAAGCACATATCTTATTAGTATCAGGAACTAAATATGTCAAATATAAGTACAGAAGTCTGTGCAATTGTTTACTCATGTCACTACATTGGAGGCCTGAGTATCTCTGGCTGCAAACAGTCAATCCAAAACCCTGTCTGCATTTGGAGGGGGGAAAGTGTTTTGTTGCTTAGGAACAGTTGTGTCTGTGTCGCAGTGGGGGTCTCCTTGTGAATATCATTATGTTCCCTTCAATCGACAAAAATGACACGTTTTTCTTGTCTGCCAATATTTATCATTGGCTGCACTCACTTGCAGGGCCTGCAAATGTCTTTTTATTGATTACAGGGCAGATTCTTGGATTATAACTAACTTTGTATCAACATAATATTCTAGATATCTACAATGAGAGGTCTTTTCATGTTGACAAACTACGAGAACATAAGAAAAAAGTAAAATGCATATGGTTATTTTGTTAAATATACCCCGTTTTTGCCCATAAAAAGCTTGGAAAGTCAACTAAGTATTTTTTTTACTACTTTAACTAAATCTCACCGACTGAAAGAGTGAAAGAAAGCGAGATTGATCCATTTTCTCCTGCAACAATACAGCAGTGATAAGAATTAAAGATAATTTTGAAGTCGTGAGATGTAATTATATATGTTCTGTTGCTCACAAATAAAACAGACGGAGCAGGTGAGGCCAGAGGACGTGGCGAGGAGCGGAAAGGTACCCGGCGAGTCTGCACCCTGCGACTGATTATGTGCAGGATCATGTTGACAGGAGGAAGGAGGAGATGCAGCCACACATACAGCAGGGATGCTGGGTGCCTAGGCCGGAAATTCATCAAAATGGGGGAACACCTCCAAGAAATGTGTGTCAGACGGTGTGTGCTCCTCTCGCATCGTCCCTTTGGAAAGTCAGTGAAATTTTCCAGTGATTGATGACGGCTAGGAAGGGGGTCAGTAAGAACAATGTGCATTATTAATAGAGTGGACTGTCCTCTATAATTGCTTACCTTGAAGTCAAAATATGATAATTATAAATTTACACATTTGAACAAATCGTGTGTGTGTGTGTGTGTGTGTGTGTGTGTGTGTGTGTGTGTGTGTGAAAAACATTCAAATCTCTGAGTGAGAGTACTGTAGTTTTTGATATGCAGTCTGGAACGGTTCATATTTCTGATGCTTTCTTATTTTAGAAAGGCCTTTACTTATTTATTCATTCGTTTGAATAAAAATATCTTCAGCTTAGTTTCATTAATTTTTTACAGTTTATAGCTTCTTTTTTTGAAGAATTAATAGGTTAACACCATTAATTGGTAATTAATTAATTAATGGCATGTGTTGGAGGAATTAAATCTAATTGATTAAAAAACACACAAGCCTATTTTTAAACACTATAATTACATAGAGAGTGTGGAAATGTTAACGGAAATTCAAATCAAATTTACAAACTCAATCTTGGATTTCAAACTCTCATTTATTGCATTTCAGAAGGTTGTTTTTCGTTTACCAAACATATTCTTAATTACCTTGAATTTAAAGACACACGGCAGATGGTATTTAGTGCGAGTTCCACAAAAGACGCCTATATTTTCAGATATAACACCTTTTCATGTGCATCCACAACGTAAACCGAACGAAAAAGCATTTTGTCCTTTGTTGTTGGCTAGTGTTGAGTAGCGCATGTAAACTAAGACCCGCGCAGAGGTAAATCCCAGTTTCTTAAATGTAACACATGTTCTCCTTCCCACACATTGTGATTCTCTGCACCAGCAGTAAACGATACATGTGAGGGAGTTTGAGGCACTCGTCTTGTCATCCAGACGACGATACGCTACATTAGCAGACGCAGGCAGGGAAGGAGTCTCATACATGAGTGTGAATATTAGAGGAGATGGAACCCGAGCAAACAGGATTTAGAGCACACCTCTGTATCAACACAGATTTAGTCAGCGTCACCCTCCAGGGACACAAAGAGAGATGGAGGGAGAGGCTTCTCTTCGTTTCGAGATGATTCACGTTGAGAGTGGGCTTGCAAAATTGCTTTATGGAAAGTGGAGGAAGCCTCGGCAGGAACATTAGGCAGGACGCAGCAGGAGGGCCACTGTTTCATTAGGGAGAGAGGCTTTGGCTTTATTACCAGGAGTTGGAGTTTTATGCTTATATGTCTTCTAGTCAGCTGTTTGGGTGGGGAGTGGATAGGTGGTCTCGGCGCAGTCGGCCGAGTCTGGAGAAGCGGGCCGCAGAGCCGTCCCCTTGGCGGCCGTTGCATTCGCCGCGCACACATCGGAGATCCTGCTCACCAGCATCTTCTGCGTTTCGAGCAGGAAGTCCTCCTATGAACAGAAAGTGATTGAGTTATAGCTTATTCATTTTTAATGTGATACGGCCCTGTTTCTTCATCAATGCTCCATCTGACATGACTTTGGCATTAGCTTGTAGGAAATTGACTTGATGAGTGAGAGTAGAAAAACAATTGCTACTCTGGTTGGCATGTTCAATTTAGTAGCAATGAGTTACAAAAAATGAGAAGCAAATCATTCCAATTGGAATTTGAATCCAGAATTTCAAGTGAAGGCTGAAAAGTTTGTCAACAGATTTCGCTCTTGTTCAAGTTGGTCATGCGAATTGTTGCTCGGTGAAATCCAGGCATTCCAATTGGTAATTCGCAAGATCAGAGTTTTGCATGAGGGCAGAAAAGTTTGCTAAAGATTTTGCTTATGATCAAGAATTTCTGTTAACATTTTCTATTGGAATCTGTGTAATCGAGAGTTTTGCGTGAGGGTGAAAAATTTCTATACGCAGATTTCGATCATGTTCAAGTTTGTCATGCGAATCGTTGCAAAACGAAATCCCATTCCAATAGGAATTTGCACAATCTGGAGTTTTGCATGAGGGCAAAAAAGTTCGCAACACTGATTTCAAGTGATCTGAATTTCCTTTAACATTTTTCAATATTGCACAGTTGGGAGTTTCATGTGAGGGCCAAAAAGTTGGCCACGTAGTTTTCGTTCAAGTTGCTTATGCAAATTCTTCATACTGACCAACAGAAAGCTGCTTGGTTTGAAAAGGACTTCTGTCTGAGCAGCGCTTCATATATCTCTACGCTACTGACAATGGACCTTTTTTTGCACACAAGATTTCTCTGTGACCGCACCTTTCCTCTTGATAAATTATCACCGGGATGATCGGGCCTCGCCGGTGTGATACCTAATGGTGGCAACGATGGGCCCTGCCTGGAAGCGGCGCTGTCTTGCGGTACCAACCTTTCCGACCCCAGCGGAGCGTGGTGCTGCAGTGTACCGTGCAGGCTGCCCACCCTCCCTACCGGGCAGGCCGTCTGCAGCAGAGCAGTTAATAAAGAGATTGATTATCAGCCTGTCAGGAAGTGACAGTTGGACAGAGCCACTCCCCATGAATGACAGAGGGCACGTACCGCTCTCAGCAGCCAAGAGCGCCAGAACCAGCACCGCACCACCAGCACCTCCGCACCACGCCAACCTTGCTACGGGGAGGAAGAGCCCCACCGCGAGCACAGCCATCGCCTTCTGGAGCAGCAGCTACACGGCTGCTGACTTCACTTCCTGTGCCAGAGTCAGAGTTCAACGCCGCTGCCTGCAGCAGACTGACTGCCGGGCTCCGAACAACATACGTGAACTTTTTTTCATGAGATGCCACATTCACAGAGTAGAAAAATTCAAGCAAATATCTTGTTCTTCAACTTCAGATACTTTTATGTCAATGATGGACTTTTAATAAAAGTTTACATTTTTATTTATATGAAAGTTACATTAAAACTGTCTTGGAAACTTTTTTCTTCCCTATTTTTGGTAACTTTTCAAGTGACTTATGTATAGACTTGATTGTTTTATCCTTTTCCCAGTTTCAGAATTTCAAATGCATCATAAAAATATAAATTATAAAAAATTTTAAACTATGATAATCTAAAGAGATAAACATAATTCCAATATTTAAACAGTTCAATGTTTGATATGATTATCTGGTAGGATTTTAAAAGTGTTTGAAATAAGTTTAGGGAGGTATTCATAGTTGATTGTAGGTTTACATTTCACTGTAATATTGCATGTTATGCATTGTTGAGATTTATAGTATAAAAATGTAGTGCTGACTTGCCGGTCATGTGTTGTTATTAACTGCATACCTGATTTGGTTTATGTAGTGTAAAAAGCAGCCAAGAGCGCCAGAACCAGCACCGCGCCACCAGCATCTCCGCACCACGCCAACCTTGCTACGTGGAGGAAGAGCCCCACTGCGAGCACAGCCATCGCCTTCTGGAGCAGCAGCTACACGGCTGCTGACTTCACTTCCTGTGCCAGAGTCAGAGTTCAACGCCGCTGCCTGCAGCAGACTGACTGCCGGGCTCCGAACAACATACGTGAACTTTTTTTCATGAGATGCCACATTCACAGAGTAGAAAAATTCAAGCAAATATCTTGTTCTTCAACTTCAGATACTTTTATGTCAATGATGGACTTTTAATAAAAGTTTACATTTTTATTTATATGAAAGTTACATTAAAACTGTCTTGGAAACTTTTTTCTTCCCTATTTTTGGTAACTTTTCAAGTGACTTATGTATAGACTTGATTGTTTTATCCTTTTCCCAGTTTCAGAATTTCAAATGCATCATAAAAATATAAATTATAAAAAATTTTAAACTATGATAATCTAAAGAGATAAACATAATTCCAATATTTAAACAGTTCAATGTTTGATATGATTATCTGGTAGGATTTTAAAAGTGTTTGAAATAAGTTTAGGGAGGTATTCATAGTTGATTGTAGGTTTACATTTCACTGTAATATTGCATGTTATGATGTGTGTTATCATTGTTGAGATTCATAGTGTAAAAGTGCAGTGCTGATTTGCCAGTCATGTGTTGTTGTTGTTAACTGCATACCTGACTTGGTTTTTGTAGTGTAACAAAAAAGTATCATGGTTTCCACAAAAATATTACAGCACAACTGTTTTTAATATCGATAATAAGAAATGTCTTAAAGGAGACATATTATGCCCCTTTTTACATTATATAATATAACTCTCTGGTGTCCCCAGAATGTGTCTGAAGTTTCAGCTCAAAATACCCCACAGATCATTTATTATATCACTTTGAAAATGCCCATTTTGAGTGGAAGCAGAAACACGCTGTTTTTCTGGCCTGTCTCTTTACATGCAAATGAGCTGCTGCTCCCCGCCCCCTTTTCCAGAATAGAGCTGGGCCATTACAGCCCGGACTGCTTTTAGATGTTCTGCTAAAAACATCTGTTTTGGTTCTGATTATCATGTTTATCATGCTGAAATCCTGTGTTTTAAACCATATTAGTTTAAACTTCTGATATATGGTTTTCTAAGTGCACACGGACAGAAAGCGGCTGTCACAGCATGTGAGTACTAAACTAAGTTCTCACTCACACACAAGTTTACGTTAAACACACAAGCTACAAAAACAGTCGGTTATGTCTGAGAAGGTAAACAGCCTGGAAATAAATCACGTTTATTTTAGATCTGTGTGGCAGCAGCAATACACAGTAAATAAACCAATAAATCCACTGCTCTCTTGTCTCTTCTGAGGCTGGGACTGTAAATAGTGTTCTGTGCTCGTCTGTGCAGCCAAAGGCAGAACAGTTAGCATGTTTTGCTCAAACTTTCGCCATGGCATTAGAACTGTTGTTAGAACTGTTAGCCGTTGTCACTTGCGAAATCAAAATGACGGTGCGTGGGTGGAAACTTACAGATTAAGGGGCGGTAATATTATAATGAGATCCGTTTGCCACGTCACCAAGGGAGCGAAATCAGATGCGCTAGTTTTTTCAGATGCTTGCAGAAAAAGGCTTACCAAAACAAAGTTACTGGGTTAATCTTTTTTACATTTCCTTGGTTGGTAGATGCACCGGGGACCTGATTATAGCACTTAAAACCTGGAAAAGTCCGATTTTCATGATATGTCACCTTTAAGCACCAAATCAGCATAATAGAATGATTTCTGAAGGATCATGTGACACTGAAGACTGGAGTAATGGCTGCTAAATTAAAAAATATAATAAAATAAAAAAGTTATTTTAAATTGTAATAATACGTTTCACAATACTATTGTTTCTACTGTATTTTGATCAAATGAATGCAGTCTTCCTGAGCATAAGAGACTTCTTTAAAAAAAAAAAAAAAAACACCCCAAATGTTTAGACCATAGTGTTCAAGAGACTCCATAAGAGCAGTTAACATCTGTAACAAGTGTATATAAATACATAAAAAATGTATGGCTAAATAAATGTATCCATGCCAATGGGTGTCAGTATAAAGTACAAGAACATTTTCACATCACATAGCACTTTTTTTTTTCAAGTGCAGTTTTAATTGTAGTTTGGGATTGTGACACTTTTAATAAGAATAAATCAATGTTCTTGCATGGGTGATTTTAAACATTTAATTATCATTATAGTCCTGTTTGTTCTTTTTTTTTTAGCTGATTATCAGTATGCTTCAATGTATGGTGACCTCAACGAGTAAACATAACTGTTGACCCACTCAGCCTGTTGGACTAGCTTGCTTGTGGGAGCATATGTTTCAATGCTCATGGATTAGTAACAGTGCATTAGAGAAGCAGAAGTGGCTTCCTTCTAATTAATGATTTAGCACCTCACAGGTATACACACACACACACACATACACAGTTCTACGCCTCATCCGGCCTTGCTTTGTCAGTCCCCCCGAATGAAGGGCTGTCTGCGCGCTGTGACAATCTCGCGACTGACTTTGTTTGAAGTCACTCTTGTCTGTCTCTTCACCGGTGCGCCTGTCTATTGGCCGCATCCCCCCTTTTTAATGAAACAGAAGCGTTAATAGAATCACTGGGAAAAGCAGGTGATAAAAGTAGATCCGTCGAGCGTGCCTGTATCCTGAGTTGCGAGCGCACTGTTCAAACAGAGCATTGTTCAAAGACAATGCATGCAAAAGACACACAGGCTGCCGAAGGAATAAAAAAAAAAGAGGGAGAGAAAGGGAAATGGAAAAAAAGCTGCTCCCTGTCTTCAGCGAGATCAAAACAACTCCAAGGTAAAATATACAATGAAGGGCCCCCTGATCTGACCAGCATCTCAGATGAGAGGAGGATGCAGTCTTTCTGACATGTTACAGAAGGAGAGAGAGAGAGACGGAAAGCAAAATAAAGAGGCCTCACAAAAGTTTGAGATATTCAGGCCTTATGAATGCATTCATGGAACATTGTACATGCATTACAAATGTCAAATTAATGCCCGCTTGAGCCGAAATGATGTTCCGAGCACATGAAATGACCCTCAAAGAGATGAAAAACATCC